ACAGGAAGATTCGGATTAGACTTGACACACTTCTCCCTAACCCAAAGGCAAAACTTCCATCAAAATCAATTGCTCCTCTTCGTGTCCGCTCTCTTAAAGTGGGGGAGAGGGTTCAGGCAAGAGTTCACCTGGGAAATAAAGACATATGGCAGTTTGGTACAGTCAAGAGAAAATTAGGTCAATACCATTACCTTGTTGAATTGGATTCTGGACGAAGTTTAAAACGACACATAAATCAATTGATTTTGACTCTTGTATCCAAGAAGAAAGTTACCTTTACAACACAAAACAAACAAGATAGTTCTGTTGTTCCAAGAAGGATTCCTATTAGAGACTGTCAAGCACCACCACAAGAGATCCATCCAGAGTCTGAATCAAATACAAACAATCCAACAGAACTAGACGGTAGTCTAAGGGAAGAAAATCTAGACAGACCTCAAGCCACAGAACAAAAAGAAAATTAATTAACTCGTCCTTCCAGACAACGCAAGGTTCCGTCCTATCTTAAGGACTTTGATCTCCAGTGATTAAGTGGGGGAGAATGTTATGAACATATGTAGTTGTTACCATAGCAACCAAAATGTTAATCATCAAAATGCTGTTTACTATTCTATTCTGATCTTTAATATAACACAGTTACTTCTATTTCAACACTCAGTCTTTTTATATTCTAATATTTCCACTCGAAAGTCATCTCAATAGCTAATGAAATATATGTTATAAATATAAATTAAAACTATCGAAAAGTCTGAATTTCATAATGAGAACTGTTGTAGTTTGCTTGTTTATGAACATATTTTGATCAAATTTGGAAAATGTATTTATTTCTTACTAACTATTAACATTAAAAAAAAACAGTTTTACCCTCCCTGATGCAGCAAACCTAAGTACTTGTTAAACTAATTCTATTTAAATCAGGAATAAATGCTATATTTTTAAGTAGACATTTTAGTCTAAATCCAATCAGTCAAATGGAACTTCGCTTAGTCTGCAGGTTTGCTGCGGCGGGGGTATTTATAATAGTTGCATTCCTCAAATAAAGTTAAAGATGCATGTTAATGCAATGTTCCCCTATTTATGTGCTAATTAAATACTTCAAACATTGCATTAACATGCATCTTTAACGTTTTTATTTGAGGAATGCAACTATTATAAAAAATAATTGTTTACTCTTTTAATTTGCGTAATTAAAGTAGTTCAGTGCTTGTAGTTTAAGTGGCTGTACTAATATAAATTTAGGTAAAAGTTTAATATTGTATATAGTGGGTGGCTTTTATATTGCATCGATAACATTGTATGGTCGCCATTTCATTGAACAGTATTAACAGTATTATTAAATAAACAGGGTTGGATACTTATGGTGAATCGGGAAACTAGAATTCTATTTGCTTGTCAATTACTACAGTTTGTATTTTTGAGCAATTCTACATATTCTAGCTATAAATACTTTCTTATCAAATGGCGACCATACAAAGTAGGTATTTTAAGCCAAGTATGAATGGAGATGAGTGGAGGGTGAGTTGGTGTGATTTTGTAGTCTTGTTAGTGACTAAGGCCGACATCTTCCTTAGACACAGCTATTAATTAGCCCATACAGCTAATGGCAATTATGGGACCTACAGTTTATAGTGGAATCCGAACCAAATTTTTTCCTTAAAATTTGTTAAAGGTAAGCTAATTAAATTATCTATGTTCTTTATTAGAAATTATACATTATTCAAGTATTTTAGAAAGTGAATCTAGATATCTAGAAGGCTCTGGGATAAGGTATTTTAAGACATAAATTTTCCAAGCCAACTCGTTATTTAATGTGTATTTATAAGCTATTCCCAAACAAAGTACTGTAGGCCTAAATGATTTTAGTTTATTTAATTTATTTTAATAAAAGAACACAGTCTTAAATTAATATAATTTAAATTGAAGCATTGATTTTACCAAGTGGAAAATGCTGCTCTCCTTAAAATTAATAAACTTTGATATTGATGTGTCGATTAGCCTCCAGAGGCTTGACGGGATTACGAGCTGAGTTTTGATAAGAATTTAATTATCATCAGCAGACAACAGGCTCAAGTCGCGGAGTACCTTAATGGCTTATCTTCCATCCACAGGATCACCTAGATGTACTATTTTAGGTCGTTATTGATATTATGCCACTTTGAGCAGCGATTTATAGTTTATACCACGAACGAATATTGTATAAATTAATTTAATAGAGTGGAGGAAATGTATTTTCGGCAAATTTATATCATTGGTAAAATATTTTGGTTAAGAGTAAAGAGTTGCCTTATTGTAAATCGTATTCATAGTATATATTTAAAGTAGGTTTAAGCTTAACCCACGTATCCATGCAACAATATGTACAATACAAGAAAGTAGCAGTGCAACAGTATAACAAGAAATATATGTGTCAGCAATATGTCAGTGGTTAGAAAGAGTCGTCGTATATGTGATGATATCAGCGTTGCACATGCATACCTTGACACATATTATGCTGATGTGTGGTCTCGTGTTTTGCTCGTATGTTTAGTTCAAGCTCAGAGTAAATAAAACAAAATTTACTCTGAGGTTCAAGCGATGATAATAACTAACTTATTAAATAATACCCCCGCCACAGAAAACCTGCAGAATAAGCTAGTTTCCATTTGTCTGATTTGATTTCCATTTGAATCTATTTAAATAGCATTAGGTTAAATGAGTACCTAGGTCTTCTGCTTCAGGGAGCGTAGTGAAGTGTGTAAAATGTATCTCCACAAGACTAACATGGGAATTTTTCATTTAAATTTTATTGAATTTTCTTGTTCAATAACAACTGTACAAGAACACTTCAATATACTTAATTGAGCGGAGCGAGCGAAGCTCGTAACGTCAACCCTTATGTATGTCGTGATACACCAACACCTTCTAGACGGCTAAAGCAATCATTTTTAAAATTTTGCATGGCAATAAAGACCACATCGGCGAATGCTGACATCTATAAGGCGTTAAAAAATTCTCTAAAGACTCCGCCCCACGTGCTCTCAAAGTTTTTATCTCATCTTTATGGAATCAGTATTTGACATACAAAAAAGGCATAAGATCAGCTGTTGGCTTAAAGGAATGATTGCAACTTTACTATTATCACGATATTAGAACAGAAACTGTAAGGATCATAAACATAAACAAATGATGTCACTAGCGCGAACGTTTCCAATGATATGTTCTTTTTGTGTTCTTAACATATCAGAGCTTGCAATGGATGGGGAAAACTAATCTAAACTATTAATTAGAAGTTAAAATCACATGTGAAAAAGACTAAGTTACGAATTTTTAAAAGGACTTTGTCAATACTTAAAGAAACAATTACGAAGTTTTAGATCATCCAGGGCATAGGTTGGATCTCTGTAAATATTTTACAGTTTATTTCGACTCGATAAACACTTTTAATAATGCCACGAGGTTCTTTTTTGTAGGACCATGTTTACGGTGTAACCAACCGGCGCGGCGGGTGGAACCCTCTTAACTAACTACAATAAGGGAACTTTACCTTTTCCTACATTTGGTATGAATTGAATAAAACTCGAATAGTCATTTCAACAATTTCTTTTCAATGCATCACTTTGAGTTATAGGGGATGACACGGGGCCTTTTAAATTTGGCAAATCGAGTGTAAGTAACTCTTGGATGATTGCCTTGGGGTGATGTGAAAAATCTGTGGCTATTGTTAATGTAAAAGCTGTTAGGTACTAATATTTACAACCTAATAGGTTCAAAGACTCTTAATTCAAAACGTATAAAAACCAGTTCAGTTTTATTTAATTTTAAAATAATGTTTGTGCCTTGAATTGTCAGTAGGATAGTTAGTTGTTTTAAAGCATCAGCAGTTTACAAAATTGTAATTAATAAAAAAAAAAACATTACTTATAAACTTTCTCAGGGAGTTATATTTGAAAAAAATTTATTCATCAATACTTACTTAATTGTTTTTTAAAATATTTTGTCCACATTATATTAGTAAAAAAGACAAACGTATTTAAACAGAAATACCCCCACCACAGCAAACCTGCAGCGAATTTCCATTGACCTGTTTGGATTTTCATAGGTTATATCACATATATGACCTGTATTATACCCTTAGGTTATACGAGTAACTAGGTTTGCTGCTACAGGAATTGTAATAAATTGTTTTTTCTAGAAAAATATTAATAGCTTACTGTGAAATAAATGAATTTGCCAAGTTAAATCAAAATATATCCCTGAACAAGCAAACCACAGCAGTTTACTTATTCTCAATAAGAATAACAAGGAGGGGGAGCGAGCTGGCGTAGTGGTTAGAGCGCGGGACCTCAGGCCCTGAGATCCCGGGTTCGATCCCCACCAAGTCACGAATGGATTTTATCTAAGTGATGATGCCGCAACCCCTAGGTCTAGCCTGAAGTAATGTGAAAAACAATCACAGGCTCGGGGATAATATGGGATAGTATGGGAATTTGAAATTAATATTTTTTGAATTTTCTTAACATCAATATACCAAAATATTGTTATTTAAGCTATTCAAAACAGTTCTGAAAGTGTTAAAGTTTATGTGTTGATGGTCAAAAATGAGAAAACCCAATTTTTACTTCATAAAACCACCCAAAAATCCCCACCCTCATGGTCCGATCACGCCGGTTTGCAAACTCGTTCGAATAAAGGTTTACATGTTTTTACAACATTTATCAAAATTAGATTATATTGGTTGAATTATTGTGCTAACGGGCACAAACATATGTAGGCCTATATGAATTGGAACAGATGGTGTTTTTGGCCTCTGGGGGCCTAAAGATGAAAACCTAATTGGTTAATAACAGTGTAGTATTTATTATAGCTAAAACAAATAGGTAATATTTTGTTAAAACCCTCTCATTGAGTTCATAACATCCAATAGATTCGTTGCGAAAAAATTGTTACAATGTTTAAGTAATACTATGTTAAATAATGTTATTACATGATGCAGTTCTAATTTAGAAGTAAATCATACTTACGTTTGTATTATTGCTTCTTAATATCACACATTGATGTAATGCACTCGGACAGACATCTGAAATAAAATTGTAATTAATTATGTATATTGTTTTACAGATATTTCATTTAAAGGCAACCTTTAACTTATATGTAGTATTGTGTATTTTCCCAACCGATAATCAAATTCAGCGTGAAGAGGTTTTACATTTCGTTAATTTTAGGTGGAAATTGGCATTATTTGGCTTGTTAAATATTGGACATACAATTAATAAGAGACAACAAACTGGATCTGTTGCAATATAAATTGAATACAATGACGTGTTGTTGGTAACCTAATAGATTCAAAAAGACAGAATTTTAAATTTCAGAACTGCGCCAGTAATACAAATGAAGACTATGGTTTAACTGCCGCCAATCTTAAGCGTTGTAGGGTTAGTTAAAGAGGTAATACCGGGTGATTCACAATGAATAGTCTGGTTTTAATGCTTTATAACCTTTATACTATTAAACTTACCGCTATATAACACACATAAAATAAAAAAAGCAACTCAAAGAGTTTATGTCTTCTAAAGACACATTATTTAACAAAATCGATCCGGTAGAACTGCAGATTTAATTATTCAAAGTTAAAAAGTAATCTCCAGCTTTTTCACCACTAAAAATTTGAGGTCGCTTGACGTTTTTTGAAATAACTTTTAAATGGTGTGAAAATTGACCAAAGTGGAAGGAAATAGCCTATTCCGAAAAAGAATAAAATTTCCTTTAATTTACTATTATGCATTTCTTGAAAATACTCATTAAAGGCAGCCAAAGATTATCTCAAAATAAAAATATGTGAAAATTTCCGTTTTTAATGTAGACAATAGACATAACTAATTGGGATTTTCAATTTTTGTTCTATTCTGACAATTTTTGGCTGCCCTTACTGAGTATTTTCAAGAAATGTATAATAGGAAATTGTAGGACATTTTATTCTCTTTCGGAATATTTCCTTCCACTTTGGTCGATTTCCTCACCATTTGAAAGTTATTTCCAAAAACTTCAATTATTTGTAAAGTAATCCTCTTAGCTGGAGAATATTTTTTTTATTTGGGCAGTTGAAGAATTCACCTATTACGAAACCAAGTTTAAAAATACACTAATACCGTTGCATAATAATTCCAGAATTATCGTAATATATACAGTCCAAATAAATTGTTAAACCTCTTCAAATATCCTGTAAAAAACTTCAATCAGCCTCTACAATATAAAATCCCCAAATAAGAGTCATACAATCCTGCAACCAAGCTAAATGTAAATGTAAATCAAATGACTACTCATTTTTAGTCAACTTACGGTAACCAATAACAACGGACTTTAACCATCGTAACCTACAAATTGTACCACAAGGCTCCTGATTTTAACTCTAGGAGTGGCCCGAGCTTAAGTACTGCCATCAATCCAACTAATTACCGTGGTAGACTTGGAGGAATGTATTGTGATGACCGCCATACATGGTCTAGCAGCTGCTACATTCAGCACTCTCTGCTGGCCGTTAGCGATTGCTGCAATTACCTATCATACGTCTAACTGCATTGATGTGGGGTTTATTACTAAATACTCAGATCAGTTCTCAACTTTCTACACATCCCTGCAACATAGATTATAACGTTTGTTGAGCCTACTTACTATCATTTATATTTTGTTCCGAACAATAATTCATAATGTTTCTTGGTACAGTAAAAATCAGGTACAGTAACATCGTGAGCTACAAATGTCCGACAAGCAGTTTGCGATATATAAGATGAGAGAACATTGTTTAAAGTTTCGTGGGCATCGATATCAACAGATGATACATCAAGTTCGTTTTGAAAGGTATATTAATACAGTTATTACTTGTTGCCAATTTTAAATTGTGTTGGAACAGCTATGCCATAAACTTTTATCATTTTTAAGAGTCTTTAACGTGCTTCTAACCATCTAACCATCGACAATGTTTAAATGATAGTTTAAGTGATCATTTGCAAACAATTAACAAACTTGATCGAGATTTCGTGAGAGTTTAGCCAGACAAGACAGATGTTACCAGCTGACCCGCATCTCAAGTGATGTTGATGTTGCCAGAAATACGTCTCAACAGGCTTTACCAGGGTTGAATGTTTTACCATAGACTGTTTGACATAATGTAGGAACGTTAAAGTAAAAGAGCTCCAGTTGAATTGGATTTATGTGAATTCAATTATATTTACATTATTATAATTAACGGTTCTTTATATCGGTGGATTATAATAAAAATTTGTTTTTTAAAGTATATAAATACGTACAATAATTAGCAATAAAAATGGCAATTTTTAAGAATCAAATTCAAATTGTTTTATTTGTGGTATATAATTAAATACCTGCAAATTTAACATGCTAGTTGATTTTTAATAAACTAATACGTGTTCGTTGTTAATAATTTCTTTTTATAAGTTTCATTCTAGTAAATATCAAATTCGAATTCCCCCTATCAACTGTATAGGGAAAGTATAGGTTTTATATTATATTGAATCTCTATTAAAGCATAACGAACCTATTACTCGATGATGCCATACAACGTAGCGCGATGTTCCACTCATATGGAGTGTAATCAATGCTTATTGTCATCTCTCTTTTATACCCGGCGATTCGCTAAAGCGTTCATTTCATTGTGAAAGGGCTTTCAAACGAGAGCTAATAAACGAATATCAGTAATTTATACTCTTAAACACGGCCATAGAATATATTTTTAAAATCATCTATCTGCACGGTACAATTAAACATCATACTGCCGAGGCTATTTTATTATACAGGGTGGAACGAAGTTAGTGTTAAAAAATTGTATGTCTTAAACTACTAAGTATTGGTGACAAAATGGCACCAATTTAAGTTTCCATACCCTCACAGGTAGGGAATAACGGACAATTTTAGATTTTTTAAAAATATTTGTATTTGCTTACATAAAATGGCCATAAGTGCACTAAACATTGTTTTTATTCCAAATTCATTGTCATTTTTAGAATCCTCGTTAAATTTCCAATATTAATAGTACAAATTCATTGGGATGAAACTTCTGTATAAGCTCTTATTTGGCAATGGAAGTTTAAATTTGTGATTTTTTAGAAAAAAGTAATAACTTTTTCCAACGTTTTTCTATACTACACTGGACTCTAGAGAGTGTCAGTTATTACTAAAAACTTCGGCAGTTAATAACCTTTAAAATGATGTATAAACATCTACTGTTCGTTTGATTTGTCGTTCTCAAATTTAAGAGTTTTTCTTTAAAAACACGGAACGGCTAATGTTTAATTTCCTGTAAAAAACATGTATTGGCTTCAATGATATGGCAGCAGCTGCTTTAAAAATCATGTTTAAATGGGTAATATTGCAATTTTCAGAGTCCTTGTAAAATTCCTAATATATTGAGGAATTGTTAGGATTAAAACCTCATGAACCTATGTTTTGTGATGTATCTTCATTTAGGGTTTTTTTCTTTTTTACTAGCATAACTTAAATATCGTTTACGGTGTTAGTTCTATGGTACATTCAACCGATGTGCGAGATTGAATTAATGCAAAATACACAACTTGAACAATGATAACAATGATAAAGATGGGTCATATGGTGTGATTTGCTGGCATGCCAGGTCGCCAGACAGAGTCCACTGGACTTGTTTTGTGTGGCTATGTGGAGGGAGTACTTGGTCTCCTCATCTTTAATGGAAGATAAAGATAAGGAAATTGAAAACTGGATAATGAATGCAGATGTTCTAGTCAGAGGAACGTTGTATTTTAATGTTACTGTTGGTGCCACTTACAAAAAAACTTGGCTGTATATCAGGGAAAATAAAGGAGATAAAAAAATAAAACTCAAGTAGTTGGCATCAAATAGAAGGAAACTATTAAAACGTTAAGGAAGTAAGGAACAGTTATTTAAGTTTTGAATATTGTGTGTTTTAGAATTAACTTTTATTTTTTGTGTAAATAAGTTAAACTACGTATTTCTGAGGTTTTAACAATTATTTTACTAAAGAAATATATCACTTGGCTGATTTTCATTAGCATGTGTTCATTAGCACTACAATCTAATTGCTATACTTTTTAGGTTAATTTTGTGTTTTCGGTAAACATATTGACAACATTGTAAAGTGTAGTATCTACATAATTTTAGAGGTTACTCCATTGGAAGTATTTGCTTATGTTTAGAAAATAATCTTAAGTTAAATGTACCATGTGTGACTTTAAACAATATTCATTGTATTCAAAAAATTAAAATGAATACAAGTTTAACATGTTTTCACAAAACCTACGTTTATATGGATGTCAATCCTAATAGATCTTTAATATTCTTATAATAAATCTCACAAACAACATTACAAACGGACACAATAAACATTACAATAAAACCTATTCAAATATAATTGTTATTGCAGCTATTGCCATATTATTTAAGCAAATACATGTTATTTTAAAGGGAGGCGATTTTGGCCATTCCGTGTTTTTCAAGAGAAAATCTTAAATTTGAGAACGACAAATCAAACGAACAGTAGATGTTTATACATCATTTTAAAGGTTATTAACTGCCAAAGTTTTTAGTAATAACTGACACTCTCTAGAGTCCAGTGTAGTATAGAAAAACGTTGGAAAAAGTTATTACTTTTTTCTAAAAAATCACAAATTTAAACTTCCATTGCTAAATAAGAGCTTATACAGAAGTTTCATCCCAATGAATTTGTACTATTAATATTGTAAATTTAACGAGGATTCTAAAAATGACAATGAATTTGGAATAAAAACAATGTTTAGTGCACTTATGGCCATTTTATGTATGCAAATACAAATATTTTGAAAAAATCTAAAATTGTCCGTTATTCCCTACCTGTGAGGGTATGGAAACTTAAATTGGTGCCATTTTGTCACCAATACTTAGTAGTTTAACAGATAAATTTGTTTAACACTAACTTCGTTCCACCCTGTATATGTTCAAATTTTAGAGCTTTTTAAAAAAATGCGTTCTATATTTTAAACACAACTATCTTGCTGTATGGATAACGGAGCAGAATGGATAACAAAATAACAA